TAAAAAAAAAAAAAAAAAGTAAGACTACTTAAAAAGTAAAACCTATATTCCAATCTCTGATGAAGTTTATTGTAAAACAAAGGACACACAACCTGTCCTTGTGTGTCCCATTTTAATTTGTGTTAAAATTTCATTTTAGCAAATTAATTTAGGTGAGGATATTTACAGATTTCTTTTATGTGCAAAGCATTAAGTTGTGGATATATTGAAATAATAAAATTGACCTATTGCCCTAGAAGATCTCGTCTGTGAACCAAAATTAGAATATTTATTTTCTTGTAGACTGCTTGTTGTGTCTTCAGAATTATTGTCCCTGGCATTATTAACTATGTAGACTTTGTTCTGTAATATATTTTTTAGGTCAGCCAATCATAACCACATGATGGCACTACTGCAGCAGTTACTCCATAATGACTCACTGTCACCATCTTGGAGGGACATCATTGTATCACTGGTCTGCCAGGTTGTTCAGACAGTCCGACCTGATGTCAAGAGCCAGGATGATGATATGGATATCCGTCAGTTTGTCCACATCAAAAAAGTGAGTTCTGCTAATAACTAGGAACAGATGAGGTAGGCCTGGTAGGAATTTGTCTCTTAATAGTAATCTAAAAAGTAAATATCCTGAGAGGGTGCTGGGTGAGGAGGTTTTGGTGTCTGCTCTGTTCGTTAGCAATACTTTTAGGGATCAGGGAAGCCACTCTTAGAGATTGAGGGGTGGACAGAAGGGGTGAGTTGGTTGAGAGGTGAGCTGGGAACGTAAGCAAGCAGTTTCTTCCTCATTTTGACATGTAGTTATGAGAAAGCCTGTGCCCACAGATAATTGTCACTGTTCTGAGGAAAAGCAGTGGGCAGTTGCTTTATTTAGATAGCAGTGGGATCCTGTATGTATTTTTTGCCCATGATATTTAACTTAAATGATAGTGGTCTGAATTGCCATATAGTACCTGTTTATTCAGTCCACCAGTATTTTAGAGTATACAGTAATAGTGCATTAGAGAGTGGGGGTGGGAAAACAGTCATGTTGATATGCCAGTAGTTATTGTTAAAAGACAGAACTATATCCTAGAACTTTTTGTCCTTATTTGATTATATAATATTTAAAATAAAAAATAGACATAATAGCAACATCTGACTGGATTCTACAGATATATCATTGATTTTGTTTTGTTAATTGTTCCATTAGATCCCAGGTGGAAAGAAGTTTGATTCTGTGGTTGTCAATGGCTTTGTTTGTACTAAGAATATTGCACATAAAAAGGTAATGTGATAAAGTTCAACAATGAAAGTTCACTGACAGTGAAGTTCAGCTTAGGCTGTGTGTTCAGCTAAAAAGTTGGGGTGCTTTAAGGTGAAAGAAACAGAGAGTGGACATTGAAGGGCAATTAGAAGTGTCTGCCATAGGGATGAAAATTTAGAGGTTCAGGGATGACTTCCCAGAGCTGATGATGAATGTATTGGAATCTGAATAATGGAAATTCACTAGACAGAGAAAGAAGTGGGCCATGCTTCTGGACCAACAGAATGGTAGGATCCTGGTCCCTGGCACATATCAAGGAGACAGGGTTGCTCTAACAGACTGGAGTCCTTCCAGAAGTTTAGCAGTCTAAAACTATTTCCTCTTCTAGGCCCACACTACAAAACAGTCAGTGTTTCTCTAACATACTCACTGTACATCTGCACCCTCAGCCCTGAGGCCACTTTTAGCACTAGCACAAAAAAGTGGTGTGAGATAAACCGGGTATTGCAGAAACTCTGAGCTCCTTAGGGAAGAAATGGCAGATGAGACTGGAGGCGGCTGGCAAGGCTTTATTGACCTAAGATTTTGAACTTGATTCTGAAGGCTTTCTGATTCTCAAAGTGTAGTGTAGGATAGAATCGCCCATGAACTTTGTTAGAAAAGTCCATCCTAGTTTCTGCTGTGCTGGCTTGGGCTGCTTACACTTTACTGTTCTGCAGTTTGGAGCCACATAGTCCAACCTGAAGGCCAGGTGTGGTGCGTGCCTTTAAAGCTAGAGACTGGGAGGTTGAGGCAGGAGGGTTGTGACTAATGAAACCTTGTCTTAAAAAACAAGCAGAGGGGACCAGCAGATGGCATAATGGTTATGTTGCTGGACTCTCACCTATTTGATTGTGGTTTGAGTCCCAGACCCAGCTGTTTCAAACTCATGCCAGGCGCGTGTGTGCAAATGCCCAAGAGGGCAATGGAGAAGAAGGGGTTACGGTGTGACCATCACCCCTGGGGGGTGATTTTTCTTTTTCTCTCTTTTGTCTCTCTGTCTCTCCAGCAAATGCATGTGCCCTATAAAAAAAATCTCTAAAAACAAAACAAAACAAAACAAAAAAACAGGGACCAGCAGGGATGCGTGGTTAAGGCTCTAGACTCCCACATGGCCAACTGTGGTTTGAGTCCTAGACTTGGCAGCTTGCTTTCTCACTGTTCTCTCTGTCTCTCTTGGTGAGTGCATGTGCCCTATAACAAATTAAATAATAGTAATAATAATGAATAAAATTTTTCAAAAGTAAAAGAAAAGAAAACAAACAAAAAACACAAATGGGGCTAGCTGGTGGCATGGTGTTTAAGGCACCAGACTTCCACATGGCTAACTATGGTTCAAATCCCAGACCTGGTGTCTTGACAGTTATACCTGCTGCATGTGGGTGTGTGCCCAAAATCCTGAGAAGGAATTGTGGTGTGGAATGGCCTGGGGTTAGGTGACGTGTTGTGCTGCATTTATGCTAGGCACTCCAGGAGTTTCTAGTATTTGTTGGTTCTCGAGTTTCAGAAACCGTTGCTCTACAGCAGTGTTCTCAAACCTTGCTGTGCTTCAGCATCACCAGGGGAACTTACTAGAAATAGAAATACCCTGACCCCACCTTTGGGAATG